CATTCAAAAATGCCTTGGCCTGCTGTGCCATTAGATTCAACTCGTCTTATCAAAGCGTATTTTCAATCTTCTTGTAAATATTTAATTTCTTAATATTACGAAATAATTATTGTTCTCTTCTCTAAAGATATTCCAAGATTGTTCATTGTTTCATCCGATGGAAAAATTCTTTCACATCAAGGTGTTGACGATGTTAAACGTAAAGGTATAGACGCTTTGAAAACATGGACACAAGGAGAAACAGTGGCTCCTCCAGTGGAAGATGAATTTGAATGGGAAGATATATCATGTAATGGATGTAGCATGGATCCTATTATTGGTCAAAGATACTGTTGTTCTTCATGTGATAATTATGATCTATGTTCAACATGTGCAAAGAAAGGACATGAACATCCACTTGAATTGGTACCACAATCGACTGAAGATGACGATGATTGAGGTGACAAAGAGAAATTTTTTATAAATTCATCAAAGATACCACTGTTTCCAGTATTCTCGGCTATCATTTGTTGTTGAGATGCAGCAACACTTACCCCTTTGTATTTTTCAATAATGAAGTAGATTTTAGTTTTCTCGTGCATTCATAAATAAAATCTCTTTTAACTTCCTTCATACTGTCAAGAGTATCATGTTTAAGTAAATGTTCATTGATTAAGACCTGTTCAAAAATCGTTTAACAACTGTTTAATTTTAGCAATAAGGATGCGAATGAGTTTATAGATGTGAGTGATGGTCTCCTCTTCATCTATACACATACACACACATAGTATTAAAAATCTTTCCATCGACGATGTATAACTAATAAAACAAATGATTTCATTGAATAATCAGGGATTAGTCAATTTTAGTATATTTAGCTATAATGATTTAGTATACTTCATACTTTATCATAGACGATGACAAGATATAAATATTTTTGAATGCTGCTGTTATGGATTTTCATCAACAGTGAAAACGTAAGTATATATATCGAAGTTTGAATACAAATTCAAAGAACGTGTTTCGAACGGTGTGGGTGGGTGTGGGTATCGATGTGGGGGTGGGTATGGTTGTGGCTGTGGCTGAGAGAAAAGAAGTTCCACACCAACACCCACACCCACACCCTATATCATCCTGGCGACATTCCATGAATATATTCTCATGCAGAATGAGAAAGACTCTCTTAGGCTATCGTATAATTTAATTTATTAAATATTATTTATTTTCTTTGAGAATGATCATTCTAAAGGAATGAAAAAAAAAGATATCGAAAAAATGGGAATTTTTCGTACTTGTCGAGTACGATTGCATTTATTGTTTTGAAAATATGGCGCTATATATGAACGTTAGAAAATAAGGAAATATATATATCATGATAGAGAATTTCAAGCTCTCTCAGAATATTTAATTGGTTAAAAAATAACGATAAAAAATGAAGTAATTATTATTATCCCTTCTTGGACGGAAAAATATATGAAAAAAATGAAGTTTTTCAAAAAACCTATGAAACTATATACTCATTTCCATTAGTGTAAAACACAAATACGTAAAGTCCATCATAATACGATAACCTGGAAAACAACTTGATATAGAAAGATTGACGTTGCATTCAGTGCATTCATACCTAGACCCAGTCCTTTTTAGCTGCCCTTGTTCCATCTACTGAAAGGAGGGTCATACACCGAGTAAGGTTCGTATGTTCGTAACTTCGTTCGTTCGTACGTACGTACGTTCGTTCGCACAGAAGGAAAAAAGCTTTCTTTGACCTATAACTTCAGCGATCCTACAAGGAAACTTCATCTTAACTATCGGATTTGTTGATAGCCCCCTCTTCCCCCCCCCCCCCCCCCCCACAAAAAAAAACTAATCTGATGTCTGCTTCGTCTGCATTGCAGTCAATCAGATTTCAGTTAACACGTTTTCTGCCAATCATAGCTTTTCACGGATTGGTTTTACGTGAATCAAATTTTGAGAATGACCCTTCGGAGAAATCGTAGGCTTTCACGGTTTGGCTATGCACCAATGAGATTTTCAGAGTGGTCCTATGAACTAATCATAGGTTTTCGCGGTTTGGCTATTCATCAATGAAGTTTTGAGAGTTTGGAGTTTCAGCAATCTGAAGTTTTCAGGTTTGTGTGGACGTGAAGGAGTGTGTTTGTGGGTGAGAGTTTTGTATAATGTCGGTGTAGGGTGAATGGAGTGGAGTTGTGGTGTGTGTAGAAGTGGGGGCATGGATACGGTTGTAGATGTGGTTGGTTGCGGATGTATGTTTGTGTATGTACTTAGCGCATTAAGCAGAGTTGAAATATGAGTGTGTGTTCGGATTTGGAATTAAATGAAATCTATCCATTATTTCAAGTTTCATATGGTTTATTAATTTTGAAGAAAAGATAATTTTACATCATAGAAAAAGAAATAAAACAACATACAGAAAAATTTCATGAGATGAAATTGATCCTGCTTTTAAGTCTTCTACATCATTTTGCTAAACTTTCTAATCCCAGGCTGGGATCAGATATAATGTATAGGCCGACAGGAATTGAAGCACCACCTACATGTTTGCATACTTATGTCTTTAAATTTGTTTCACAGCTATACATCATCGACAATGTAACAAGTTGATCAGGATAAAATCGCCTAGGAAAATGATCAAATGTTTTCCAAGACAATGCTGCGTATTCTTCTAACCATAAAGATGTACGATAATCTTTATTGTTGGTAGATGGAATAATACATGAATATTCAAATCAATGAAATATGGAGCTTTGATTGAGATCCTTTAACCTTTTCGATGCTTGTGTTTCTTTTTCAACAGTAACTTTTGGATTTGTTTGAAATTAATTGTTACACACACCCACATCAAGAACTACACTGAACCCTGCATGCGTGTACTCTGTATGTGTTTCAATATGAAAATTGATGCTTGAGTTTGCGTAGAAAAGCTATTGGAGTAGTATTTTTTGGATTTTCTGTAGGTTGTAGTGGTATGTGGGAGCTGATGCTACGGTATCGGTTGTTTATGGAAGTTAGTTTAGTGGAATGAAGGTCATTCGATTTTCTCTGGCTCTCGATGTAGTTTGTCGGTTTGTTACGATAAGGTCACATGATGGCGCACTTGCAGATGTTATTAGCGGAGATGTTGTTAAGACAGCTTGATTGACATTGCTGATCTTATCTAAAATCGTTGGTCAAGAAACTTTTCTTTCACGACGTTTGTCATATCGGCATGACAGCGCATTTCTCACTAAGAAATGGCTAAAGTCTATAGGCAATGAAAAGAAGAAAACTCATCAAATCTAAAAGTTCACTGTGACAGATTATGAAACATGTAGGAGTCTCGGAGAGAAATAGTTGATTAGTAATATAAAACGGTTTTTCCTGCGGTAAGAGTCTGAAAAGGGAGTTTTTGACGAATTTCATCAAAAAGAAATTCGTTTTGAAACCAAGTATACTTTCTTTTTTTTCCCAAAAAGTAGACAAAATTTTAATATCATTCTACTTTGAAGGTGAAACTGGCATACTGGCATAATAGAACTATCTCTGTACTGTTCGTGGATCCGAAAAATGATGAGTTTTTATGGTCATAACTGGAAGATTTGAGGCCTTTAGCCGTTCCCATTAGAAAGTTAAAAACAGTAAAATTCCGTAACGGATAGTATTTGCGAGTATTTTTACTTGTTATAGTTATGCTTTCTAGGAAATGAATTGATATTTTACTTAGGGTATACCAAAAGTTCTGATCACAGTTTTTAAAATTCAATAAAGCAATAAATATTGAATATTTTACTAAGGCAATATATAGTATAACGTCTCGTCTTTAACAATATATAGAGCAACTCTCTCTTAGACTTAGTTCTAACATCCTTTCAGACTAAATCTATAGTATTTATAGCCAAGAAAAGATCATGCCAACATAAAACCACAATACAGAAACGAAGAGACATTCGTTATTTTATTTTATTAAATGCTCAAAATAACCACCATTATTTTCGATACAAAGTTTCATTCTTTCTAACAGTTTATCGAAAGTCTTTTTAAACTCGTTTATTGGAATATTCTTCACTATGGTAGAAACCTCTTGAGCTAATGATTCTTCGTTTGTGTGATCCGTCAACTTGTTCTTGATATAATCATTTAGCCAAAAGTCACACGGTGCGAGATCTGGTGAATATGGTGGATGTGGAATGATTTCGATTCTTCCCTCCATTAAATAATCAATAACATCTGGATGAGTATGAGAAGGACCATTATTATGAAGGATTTTATATGTAGTACGTGATGACTTTTCCTTTTTTCTTATTTCATTGATAACAGGTATAAGACAATTATCAATATAGTAGTCATGATCGATTGTCTTGCCCTTATCTACTTTGTGTATGAGAAGAGAATCAGTGGATTTGAAGAAGAAGCAAAATAGTGTTCTAGGTTCAAATCTATTCCGACGAACAATGGTTCTTGGTGGTTCATTTTCGCCAACCCAAGTAGCATTGCTTGACTTTCGACCAATCTGCCTGTGATAAATCCATGTCTCATCACCAGTAATAACATCACATAAATGCCACGTTCCATTTCTAAATTTCTCTAAATTTTGACGACAAATTCTAAGTCGTTTTTGTTTTTGTTCGTCAGTAAGTTGATGAGCAACTCAACGTGATGTAACTTTTCTCATCTTTAGACGATCATGAATAATTCGTTCTATTGTACCATGTGATAGATCAGTCTCACCCATAATATCATCATAAGTTGAGTGTGGATCATCTTCGATAACTTGTCGAACGCGTTCAACATTTTCATCTGTAAGTACAGAAATCGGACGATCAGATCGAGGATCATCAGTGACATCGTCTCTTCCTTCACGAAAACGTTTCGCCCATCTTGTGACTGTTGAATATGATGGAGCATCAGTTCCCAATGCCTCTGTAAGTTCGTCAAAGATTGTTTTTGAATCTATTCCCAAAATAGCTCGAATTTTGATATTATATCGATTGAATTCATCAGTCATGTTTAATGTCTTCTTTTAAGATTGAAATCAAATTCTATTACGATTCTAAGTCGAGTACGGTACAAATGAACTAACAGCGAACGACCTCTCATTTATATATTCTATCGAAATGTAATATTCTAGAACATGACGTCATAAAACGTGACGAGAGAGTGACCAATAGAAAGTTCCAGAATGTATCTGATCATTGAACAAGAATTAATAATATTTGCATTGTCTGTAAAATTATAGATTTAGTCTGAAAGGATGTTAGAACTAAGTCTAAGAGAGAATTGCTCTATATATTATTAAAGACGAGACGTTATACTATATATTGCCTTAGTAAAATATTCAATATTTATTGCTTTATTAAATTTAAAAAACTGTGATCAGAACTTTTGGTATACCCTAAGTATGACATTCTGTTCAATTTTGCCATCACATTTAATGATTCTATTCGGTTGTCTTACAATGAATA